GCGGAGTTACTCTTTAAGTATCTGGGGTAAAAAGCGAATAGACACACCCACCGCCGTCGCACACTGCGCCCTATAACTGGAAGCTTACTGTAATGGGAAAGGGAACTTCGTTTCCCCGGTAGAGGCGCGTTTTACCTGCTGTTGAGTTTCGTGTTTGGCTTGGAGTTCCTCTTAAAAAAAAAAAAAAAGTTCTAACAATGGAAATCGGTTTCAAAGCGACGACTTGGCTCCCCATTTCGAGGCCCGGCAGTCACGGCGAATATGAATATTTCAAAGTTTTAAAGCGTTTGTGAAATGCGGGGATCGTTCACTGTAAAGATTAATATCTTTTCATTAAAAAAGGAGAGCGCGCTGAGGGTTTAACATTTGCATATAGATAGAGTCAAGTAATAGGTGTATTGACTGCTTAAAGATGCTTATTACAACGCCAAAAAAAAGAGAAAAAGAGAGAAAATATGAAGACGCCAGTCCTTGTTTTGTCCGTCTGGCGAAGCGGACAAAATAAAAACAAATGAAGAGTGCGCATTTCATGCGGCTGCCCGCTGGGATGGAAAGCTTTATCTACAAAGAACAATACCGTTCAAACGGCGGCGAGTGAATTTCGGCTGCAAGTCCTTTTGGGAAGTCCCCGGAGCTGTTTGTGTGGAAGAGGAGTGCAGGCGGCTGCTTAACATGCAGTAGGACACTGCGGGTCTAATTAGAAGGGACAACAGGTCGTCCGCTTCAGGACTCCACAGAGCCGGAGAGAGAAGATCGGCCATTTGCATAAACCTTAATTGAGGGATGCTCGATGATCGTCAGCTCTGGGGCCCGGGGTGAAGCTGAAGACAAAGCGTGTCCGACCAGCAGCAGCGACGTCGTCATCAATAGATCTGAGTGTACCAGCTGCAGCCTAGAAATGTACAGGGCCAGGGGTCCCCAAACTCTTCAGTATGAGGGAGAAAGCAAGGGAAAGTGACCCTGCCGGTTTGCCAAAGGAGGGGGAAGCATTCCAAAGTGTATCTAGTGGCTCCAGGGGTCCCCAAACTCTGTAGTATGGGGCCAGGGGTCCTCAAACTCTTCAGTATGGGGCCAGGGGTCCTCAAACTCTTCAGTATGGGGCCAGGGGTCCCCAAACTCTTCAATATGGGGCTAGGGGTCCTCAAATTTTTAGTATGGGGCCAGGGGTCCCCAAACTCTTCAGTATGGGGCCAGGGGTCCTCAAACTCTTCAGTATGGGGCTAGGGGTCCTCAAATTCTTTAGTATGGGGCCAGGGGTCCCCAAACTCTTCAGTATGGGGTCAGGGGTCCCAAAACTCTTCAGTATGAGGGAGAAAGCAAGGGAAAGTGACCCAACCGGTAAGGAGGGAGCAGTGTCCCAAAATGTTTCTAGTGGCTCCAGTCTGACAGAGAAAAGCACGCCGCTAAAAGCCAGCCCAATCTGTCAGGTGTATGAGATGCCTTCAGCAGCTATTCCGACTATGTACCCCGACATGTTTCGTCCCACCCAGCAGGGTGGGAAAGTGACCTAGTCGGTATGCCAAAGGAGGGGGCAGCTTTCCAAAGTGTTTCCAGTGGCTCCAGACTGACAGAGAAAAGGACACAGCTCAAGCCAGCCCAATGAGTCAGGTGTATGAGATGCCTTCAGTAGCTATTCCGACTATGTACCCTGATGTGTTTTGCCCCACCCAGCAGGGTGGGAAAGTGACCCCACTGGTATGCTGAAAAAAGGGAGCCCAGCCAAAAATTAACATGGCCACCAGCCACTTTAATACACATTTCCGCAGTTTCGGCACAGAAGGTAAAAATTATACCACAGATCTCAGGAGGCAAGATTGCCGCCAAACACTACTCATTCATTCATGTGCTAGCAGCTAAATCAGTCTCTTGCAGTCCCTGTACAACAGAGCTCAGGTTGGGACAGGGAGAAGCAGAACAAGTAGCCAATCGGGTGTACTGCAGTACAAGGGGCCTGCTAATAGGAGGTGACAGAGACATGAGTTCATCAGTAGAGATGAGCTTGGGCGTCCTCAAAACTTATCTCTATCCCAAACTCCCACTTTTTTGTACTCCAGTGATCTGCGGGCCGGTCATTCCACATCCTGCAGCACACAAGAGCTGCGGGGTGGGGCGGGGAATGATCCAGCCCTCCGCTCATCAGAGTACAAAAAAAGCAGGAAATCAGGTTAGTGATCAGTTTGGAAGATGCCCAAGCTCATCTCTACTCGTTGGTGTCCTGCTTCTATTTTCAATGTCCAGTCACACGGTTGAGATGGGAGGAGACTTGTAAGGGAAAGTGAAAATGCTGCAGAAAAAAAGCATGTTCTACCAGCAGCGACATTGTCATCAATAGATCTGAGTGTACCAGCTGCAGCCTAGAAAGGTACAGGGCCAGGGGTCCCCAAACTCTTCAGTATGAGGGAGAAAGCAAGGGAAAGTGACCCCGCCGGTATGCTGAAGGAGGGGGCAGCATTCCAAAGTGTTTCCAGTGGCTCCAGTCTGATAGAGAAAAGGATGCCGCTAAATCCAGCCCAATGAGTCAGGTGTATGAGATGCCTTCAGCAGCTATTCCGACTATGTACCCTGACGTGTTTCGTCCCACCCAGCAGGGGTGGGACGAAACGCATCAGAGTGCGCGGTTGGAGAAGAGGATGAGGCCATCTCATACACCTGTCTTATTGGGTTGGTTTGAGTGGTGTCTATTTCTCTGTCTTCAGTATGAGGGCCACATGTCCTATGTTAGGACTGAGCCACTAACTTTAGATTTATTATACGAGCTACAATTAAAGGACTGAAGTTATTTTTCTGAATCTGTGTCGATCTCCAAAAACTTAAATTTCAGAACTGCAGAGGTGGAATTTTGGACCTTTGGTGTGCCAGAACCTGTTAAGAAGTACATCTCTGTTCCAGTATTCTGGTTAGATTTTGGCTAACACAAAAAAATGTAAAGTGAAAATAAAGACAGCGTGGCTTTCATCTGCCACACAGAATGACAGAGCATGAAATAACACTGGCAAGGACATGAAATGGATTTCTGTTTGCTCTCCAAGGAAATGAGTGGAAGTCAAGCGGAAGGAATCCATAGAAGCAGAACAGGAGGAGAGAAAATCCTAATCATATGACTTCATTTCTTGTACCTGGGAGCAGGAGAACCTGAAATTTTACAGCCATTGGGGATGTAAAGGTCCCGCCATGACCGCTGGAAGGGCATGATGTACATGTAGATGTGGATATAGATGTAGGTGTAGATGTAGGCATAGGTGTAGATGTGGATATAGATGTAGGTGTAGATGTAGGTGTAGGTGTAGATGTAGATGTAGGTGTAGGTGTAGACGTAGGTGTAGGTGTGTAGATGTAGATGTAGGTGTAGGTGTAGACGTAGTGTGTAGATGTAGATGTGTAGATGTAGATGTAGGTGTAGGTGTAGATGTAGATGTAGGTGTAGGTGTAGATGTAGATGTAGGTGTAGGTGTAGACGTAGGTGTAGGTGTAGTGTAGTGTAGGTGTAGGTGTAGTTGGTGTAGGTGTAGGTGTAGATGTAGGTGTAGACGTAGGTGTAGGTGGTGTAGATGTAGGTGTAGTAGTGTAGATGTAGATGTAGGTGTAGGTGTAGATGTAGATGTAGGTGTAGGTGTAGATGTAGATGTAGGTGTAGGTGTAGTAGATGTAGGTGTAGGTGTAGACGTAGGTGTAGGTGTAGATGTAGGTGTAGGTGTAGACGTGTAGGTGTAGGTGTGTAGGTGTAGGTGTAGGTGTAGGTGTAGACGTAGGTGTAGTGTGTAGTGTATGTAGAGGTGTAGTAGATGTGTAGGTGTAGATGTAGGTGTAGACATAGATGTAGGCGTAGATGTAGATGTAGGTGTAGACAAAGATGTATAGATGTAGGTGTAGATGTGAATGTAGGTGTAGACATATAAGGTGTGATGGATGTAGGTGTGTGCGTAGAGTGTAGATGTAGGCATGGTGTAGGTGTGGATGTGGATGTAGGTGTAGATGTAGATGTGGATGTAGGTGTGGATGTAGGTGTAGACATAAACGCGGATGTAGGTGTAAGTGTAGATGTAGGCATGGGTGTAGATGTGTAGATGTAGGATGTGATGTAGATCTGGATGTAGGTGTAGGATGTAGATATACTGTAGATGTGGATGTTTAGGTGTAGATGTGGATGTAGGTGTAGACATAAACACGGATGTAGGTGTAAGTGTAGATGTAGGCATGGGTGTAAGTGTAGATGTAGGTGTAGTGTAGGAGGTGTAGATGTAGGTATGGATGTAGGTGTAAGTGTAGATGTAGTTGTAGATGTAGGCATAGGTGTAGGTATAGCTGTAGACGTAGATGTAGACATAGTTGTAGGTGTAGACGTAGGTGTGGATCTGGATGTAGGTGTAGATGTAGGCATGGGTGTAGGTGTAGATGTAGATCTGGATGTAGGTGAAGAGGTGTATGTAGGTGTAGGTGTAGATGTAGGCATGGGTGTAGGTGTAGATCTGGATGTAGGTGTAGATGTGGATGTAGGTGTAGATGTAGGTGTAAAGACCTTTACCTCAGCTGTGATTTAGCACCAGGAGATAGACACAAGACCGTTTAGTGGTAAATGAGCTCACTGTATTGGTACAGGTTAGAATAAATGGTGGTTTGAGTATAAATGAGCACACAGAAGGTAGGTTAAGACACACTACGCTAGACCGTAATTGTGAGGGCACAAAGTCCAGGGGACAGGTGGTGAAGTGAGCCTTAGAAAGGAGTTCAGTAACTTCCTCACTGGTAACAGAGTTGAAGGAGGAGAGTATTGAGCGTGGTGTTGGGCCTGGTATGTTGGTTGGAGTAGGAAGCTTGATACCGGAGATCTTGTTCTTGAAATGACTGGCAATCTCCTGTGCAGTAAGTAAGTTGGTGGTGGGTGGAGGCAGTGGGGGTGGGGTAAGGCATTAAGGGTAGAAAAGAGTTGACGAGGATTGGATGAGAGGGTCCTGGTGACAGTGTTGTAGTAGGTTTGTTTAGCAGCATGGAGGCCGGAGTTGTATTTGAGAAGAGCGGATTTGTAGAGGGTAAAGTCTTTCAGGGAGTTAGGTTTACACCATGTTCCCTCAAGAGCACGGCTGCGTCTCTTGAGACTTCTGGTGTCATCCGTTTGCCAGAGTTGTGACAGGCGAGGCCAGGTTCTGCGTGTAGTGAGGGGAGCACATGCGTCCAGGGAGGATGATAGATGGTTGTTGTAGGCAGGTCTGGCCAGGACAGGGGCACAATTTTATCATAAATGCACTCGGTAGCAGAGTGAAGAAGGGAAGGGCTGAGGTGGTGGAGGTAACTGAGGTGGAGGTTTCCTCGGGTAACTGTTTGCTGGCTACCCATAACATTGCAGGGCAGCAGCTACAGAGAGGAGCTGCAGTCAGTCTGTAAAGAATTGTGGGGCTGTAAAAGTAAGCTGTTTAACCCAATTTTGCTCCTTCATTTTCTAAATTGCAACCAATGCCATGATTCATCTGTTGTAACCTCTCCATGTATGGCCTGCATTGAAAGGCTGCAACTGGGGCTAAACATCCGTACTTCCACTGACAAGGAAAAAACAAAGGAAAATGTGTTCTATCTTTTCCTTATTGTTTCTCAATATCAACCCATCAAAATGTATTTTTTTTAATCCGGACACAAAGAATGAGCCGTCTGGCCCAACCACGGTCCATAATGGACTTCCAGAGGAAAAGGTTGTGGAGCTGTACTGCCACTTGTGACAAACGGCAGTCTGTTCCCAGGTCTGAGCACCTCTAGGCGAATCTCTCAGATTCCCAATATATCACCGCGTGTAGAACTGACTCGGAGTATGAAAGAAAAATAACACCTTCTGAAAGCCTGCCATGTCCAGTGTTGGCTATTTATTACAACAGAGCGGCATCTACTACTCAACCCAGACATTCCTTTTCATGCTGGTAGTAGAGGTGACAGAATTTCTAATACCTGAAGAGAAAAAAAGATTGTCGATGTGATATCTTCCCATGTCTGAACAAGGCTTGATTCACACTTGAACTGAGCATCTTTGGTCATTTTTCCCTCCGCTGACACCAATGATGGGGCACTATTCCTCCCTGACAGCAATGATGGGACACTATTCCTCCCACTGACACCAATGATGGGGCACTATTCCTCCCACTGACACCAAGACGAGATACTACTCCTCTCACTTCACACCAAATGATGACACTATTCCAACTAATGAGACACCAATGATGGGGCACTATTCCTCCCACTGACACCAATGATGAGACACTACTCCTTCCACTGACAACAGTGATGGGGCACTATTCCTCCCACTGATACCAATGATGGGGCACTATTCCTCCCACTGACACCAATGATGGGGCACTATTCCTCCCACTGACGCCAATGATGGGGCACTATTCCTCCCACTGACGCCAATGATGGGGCAACTATTCCTCCCACTGATACCAATGATGAGGCACTATTCCTCCCACTGACACCAATGAGGGGCACTATTCCTCCCACTGATACCAATGATGGGGCACTATTCCTCCCACTGACACCAATGATGGAGCACTATTCCTCCCATTGACACCAATGATGGGGGACTATACTTCCCATGTCTGACACTTGATTCACAATGAACTGGGGCACTATTTTTCTCCCATTGACACCAATGATGGGGCACTATTCCTCCCTACTGATACCAGCAATGATGGGGCACTATTCCTCCCCACTGACACCAATGATGGGACACTATTCCTCCACTGACACCAATGATACGGGCACTATTCCTCCCACTGACACCAATGATGAGACACTACTCCTTTACTGACAACCAATGATGGGGCACTATTCCTCCCACTGATACCAATGATGGGACACTATTCCTCCCACTGACACCAATGATGGGGCACTATTCCTCCCACTGACGCCAATGATGGGGCACTATTCCTCCCACTGATACCAATGATGGGCACTATTCCTCCCACTGACACCAATGATGGGGCACTATTCCTCCCACTGATACCAATGATGGGGCACTATTCCTCCCACTGACACCAATGATGGAGCACTATTCCTCCCATTGACACCAATGATGGGGGACTATTCCTCCCACTTACACCAATGATGGGGCACTATTCCTCCCATTGACACCAATGATGGGACACTATTCCTCCTACTAATACCAATGATGGGGCACTATTCCTCCCACTGACACCAATGATGAGACACTTCTCCTTCCACTGACAACGGTGATGGGGCACTATTCCTCCCACTGACACCAATGATGAGATACTTCTCCTTCCACTGACAACGATGATGGGGCACTATTCCTCCCACTCTCACCAATGATGGGACGCTATTCCTCCTACTGACACCAATGATGAGTTTGGTGTGGAGGAACTCGAGTGTCCTGCACAGATCACCAACCTCAGCTCTGCGGAGCACCTTTGGAATGAATAGGAAAAGCAATTTCCATCCAGGTTTTTGATGAGTTTGGAGTCGAGGAACTTGAGTGTCCTGCCCAGATCCCCAACCATACTGGACACCTTTTAGGATGAACTGGAACAGCAATTTCCATCCAAGTCTTTGATATGTTTGGAGTCGAGGAACTCGAGTGTCCTGCACAGATCCCCAACCATACTGAACACCTTTGGGATAAACTTGAAGAGAAATTGCCATCCAGATCTTTGATGTGTTTGTTGTGGAGGAACTCGAGTGCACAGATCCCCAACCTCAACCCTACTGGACACCTTTTGGGATGAACTGGAACAGAAATTGCCATCCAGGCCTTCTTGTCTAACATCAATACTTGACCTCACAAATACTTTTTGAATAAATGGGAAAAATTCTCATAGACACTACCAAAATCTTGTGGAAAGGCTTCCCAGAAGAGTGGAGGCTGGTAAAGCCACAAAGGAGGACCAACTCCATATTAAAGCTCATTAATTTGAAATGGGATGTCAAACAAGCTCATATGGATGTGATGGTCAGGTGTCCACAATGGTTTGCCCATATAGTGGATCACGTTAACTGCTTTTTAGTCGTCTTTACCTTTGTATTAATTCCTGGCTAACAAGGTACATCAACGTTTTATGGTGTCTATAGTGTCCTCCCCAAACTGTCATTAAAACCATCCATGCCCATTTTGGAAAGGTACTGCAAATGCACATCACCTTTGCTTTGCCGTGGAGCAAAACCAGGAAACTTTGGCAAAAGTAAGCACTGGATTGCATTGAAAACGCATCAAAAATGCGCATGCGAAAACGCATCTGGACTGGAAAAGTGTGATGTGAAGCGACCCTTAGAAGGAACTTTTACCAACAATAACTTGTTTACTTCAACAGCAGCCTTGAGTAACCCAAACAGGATATCCTGACATAGAAAACATCACATCGACGCCAAAGTGTGAACACAGATAAAGTACATAAGGCAGTCACGGAACAGGAGGACTTCCTGGCTCCATGCTTCAGTACGCTGCCCAAGTAGGCCTCAGGCCTTCCTGCCCCTTAAGAATCCTTTGTACTAAATGATAACACAACAAGCAAGGCGCATCGGCCTCGTGGATCACCTTAAGCACCATTTACTGGTTCAAAAATGAAGTAATACCCACAAAGGACATGCAGTTTCAAACTTATAAATTAATAGCACTAAAACACCACCAGCTTCCGAACAATTCCTGAATCTGGATGGTCAATAAGAGGACCTGGAAGACACTCCACCGCAAAAAAAAACAACTAACGCGTTTCAAGAGATATGAACTCTACGTAAGACCTCTGAAGCGCGTTAGTTTGTTTTTGCAGTGGAGTGTCATCCAGGTCCTGTTATTGAACATCCAGGTTCAAGAACTGTTGAATTCTTGAACCTGGATGTTCAATAACAGGACCTGGATGATACACCAATGCAAAAACAAGAAATAACATGTTTCAAGGGATATAACTTCTTCGTCAGACCTCTGAAACGCATTAGAATGACTTTTGTGAGTATTAATTTGAAGGTAGTAGCATGTAGTTGCATTCCTATAAAATCCCTAAAACACCACCAGCCTCTAAACAATTCTTGAACCTGGATGTTCAATAAGAGGACCTGGACGCCACTCGACTTGAAAAACAAGCAAACATGTTTCAAGCGATACACTCTCTTCGTCAGACCTCTGAAATACATTAGCTTGTTTTTGCTGTGGAGTGTCATCCAGGTCCTGTTAATGAACATCCAGGTTCAAGAACCTGGATGACACTCCAATGCAAAAACAAGAGTTAACATTCAAGAGATATACCCTCTTTGTCAGACCTCTGAGTTAGATTGAGTTTTGTGAGTAATAATTTGAAGGTAGTAGCTCACAAAAAGCATGCAGTTGCATGCATTTAAAATCCCTAAAACACCACCAGCCTCTAAACGATTCTTGAATTTGCGTGTTCAATAACAGGACCTGGAGGACACTCCAATGCAAAAACAAGAGCTAACATGTTTCAAGGGATATACCCTCTTCATCAGACGTCTGAAACGCATTAGAATGACTTTTGTGAGTATTAATTTGAAGGTAGTTGCATTCCTATAAAATCCCTAAAACACCACCAGCCTCTAAACAATTCTTGAACCTGGATGTTCAATAAGAGGACCTGGATGCCACTCGACTTGAAAAACAAGCTAACATGTTTCAAGCGATACACTCTCTTCTTAAAACGCATTAGCTTGTTTTTGCAGTGCCATGTCATCCAAGTCCTGTTATTGAACATCCAGGTTGAATTCTTGAACCTGGATGTTCGATAACAGGACCTGGAAGACACTCCAATGCAAAAACAAGAGCTCTCTGAAACGCGTTAGCATGACTTTTGTGAGTATTCATTTGAAGGTAGTAGCGCACAAAACACATGCAGTTGCATGCGTTTAAAATCACTAAAACACCACCAGCCTCTAAACAATTCTTGAACCTGGATGTTCATCCAGGTCCTGTTATTGAACATCCAGGTTCAAGAACTGTTGAATTCTTGAACCTGAATGTTCGATAACAGGACCTGGATGATACGCCAATGCAAAAACAAGCTAACATGTTTCAAGCGATACACCCTCTTCGTCAGACCTCTGAAATACATTAGCTTGTTTTTGCTGTGTCATCCAGGTCCTGTTATTGAACATCCAGGTTCAAGAACCTGGATGACACTCCAATGCAAAAACAAGAGTTAACATTCAAGGGATACACCCTCTTCATCAGACCTCTGAAAACGCGTTAGCATGACAGGTTGAATTATTGAACCTTGATGTTCGATAACAGGACCTGGAAGACACTCCAATGCAAAAACAAGAGCTAACATGTTTCAAGAGATATACCCTCTTCATCAGACCTCTGAAACGCGTTAGAATGACTTTTATGAGCATTCATTTGAAGGTAGTAACTCACAAAAAGCATGCAGTTGCATGCGTTTTAAAATCCCTAAAACACCACCAGCCTCTAA